ACATAACAACAACAACAACAACATATTATTGACAAATTTTCTGAAAGACTACTTTCCAGCCAGTATTACATGGAAAGTTGATAAATACAGATCATAAAAAGTAGATAGTTGCAAACACTATATTGTGTTAATTTTCAGTATTACTACGTGACTTTCTTCAAGCTGTTTGAAGGAGGACTTGTTTCTATTGGTAAGGAGTAGTTGAGAATCAATTAAACATGTTTCTCAAAATTCTGTTCTTCATATTGAAAGGCTTATTGATGGTGTCATTAAACTTCACATATAAGTATTAAACCTTGAGTATTTTTTCAATACAATATAAAGATTTTTAGAAATAACTACCTGTGCGTTCTGTAAATATATCAAAATTCAATCTACACTTGTATTTAATTTTGTGGTTTTGATACCCAGCATTATGCCATGAATTCTTAATTAATATTTAAGAAATTTAATTTTTTATTAAAAGATTGCTGGAAATGGTTGTTAAACGTGTTCTGAGAAGTGTTTCAGTGTGCCTACCTAGTCTGTCTCCTTAGAATATAAAAATAATTATTAAGGTTTATTTTTTAAAACTTTTTGTTGTGATTTATTTTGCAAGTTTACTTAGCAAATTAGCTTCTATTTAGCAGTTCAGAAACATTTTGATTTGTGATATTGATTGCAGTCATATTTCCAACAGTGTAGTAAACAGAAATAAGAGAAAAACAGTTTACCTTCTTAATTGTTTTTAACACTTAGTTCCATAATAATGCCAGTTACCAAGGTGCTTCCTTGAAAAAAGTCCATATTTTAAGGGAGCAAAATTGTGATTAACTTACATCTTAAAAAAAAGTTTTGGCATAAGATGTGCTGGTTCATGGATGGTTTAATAGTAGTTTTGGAAGGACGTTCTGTTCCTTTGAAGGGTTGATTGTTGTCATGCACCATAAGTTGGAACCAACTCTTAGCTGACCCTCTAGTGGATCTTTAGAGGCTATAAATTACACAGGAAGAGATTGCCCATCTTTCTCTTGGAAAGCAGTGGTGGATATGAACCCCATGGCTTTAGGTTGGCAACTCAAAGCCACCAGAACTTCCTTTAAAGTGTTGGGGTAGTAGACTTAAAGCCTAAATTCTAAAGCATCATGTAAATAATTTAAGTCCACATTTCTCTGAAATTTGGGAGATTCTATAGGCCAATACCAGTTTAAGTTATGATATTGTTTTCTTCCTGAAGCTTTGTCTCATATACTTTGGGTATGTGTCAAGAAGAAACCTGTCCTTGGAGAGGGACATCATGCTTGGGAGGGTAGAGTCACAGTGCAAGAGAGGAAGACCCTCAATGAGATAGATTGATTCTGTCAGTGGGTTGATGGGGGTAGGTGTGTCAGAGACAGTAAGGTTGGCACAGGATAGAGCAGGGTTTAAGGCTGTTGTACATAGGGTCACTATGAATCGCGGTTGACTTGATGGAATCTAACAACAGCAACAACAACAATTAGCATTAATCTTCTGGGATGTTTTCGTGATATTCCACTAACTCCATTTTAGAGCAAAGGCCATGACCTATAAAACTTATCAAGTAATAGCATTGATTCCCCAAACTCATGGAAATAATTTCCATTCTTTAGTGACATTTGTAGGTGTTCAGATTTTTAAACTGTGTGATTATATGTTTTAAACTTCATTGTTGTTATCATCAATTATAATGATTTTTTGTGTTTCAATATGGAAACTTACCAAATCTCTCTCTCTTTAAAATAGACTGCTTACATTACTTGTGCATGTGTATTTTAAGTAATGATTTAAGTTGCTTTTAATTTTATCTTTTTTTGTCTCTTAAAGTTTCAGACTCTTTGGCTCAATCTGTAGTTCACCATCTAAGATGGATAATGCAGAAGGACCTTTTGGGGCAAGATGTCTTTCTAATAGGACCTCCCGGGCCTCTTCGACGTTCCATCGCTATGCAGTACTTGGTGAGCTAGCAATTACTGTGAATTCATCAGGGTCTTGATTTTGATAAACTATATTGATACATGCATATATTTAAGATTGAGAATCAACAAAAATAACATAATTCTTTATTACTTGAAAAATGTTATAATATTATGTTTATAAGGGGTCAGTAATAAAGAAGTCATTTGTGAAGAAAATTTTTGTTATAACTACAGTCTTCTACATCTAGTAGAAGAGAAATACTAATTTGGGAAATTAACCACAAACATAATCAACAACTCTGATATTACAAAGTGAAATTTAGTTTTATATTATTCAGAGAATTTTTCATTATTTTAAAGATGGAAATTTTCTTATACTTTAAAAAGACAACCAGTTCTCTTGGAGTTTTTTTCTTGTTGGTTTTTTGGTTTGTTTGTTTGTTTCTTTCTTTTTTTTTTTTTTTTGTACATTATGCCGTCTTTAAAGGTACATTATGGTTTACAGTGTCTTTTATTTGTTAGTGCTTTTTAAAAAAAATGTATTAGAAAGATTAAAAACCTTACTCAAACTTCAGCTACCTTACAATAATGGAGCTAGCCTTAAAATCCCATGCTTTTCCTACTTTCTGGCATTATATTCTTAAATATATACAGTTTTATGGCCACTTCTGTTATAATTGAATGTGAAAATTTAAATCTCAGCACACAAATTTTTTCACTTTTCTTCTACTTTGTCAGCATTTATAACTACTTTCCCTTGGTTATAGGAAGAGCTCTAAAAGATGGTGTTCCAAAGACACTAAGAGGAGAAGGAAATCTTCATCTCCCTCATGCTATTTGGTGTGAAAGAGTTTCCGTTTACTACAGAAGTTACTTCATATATTCTTTTGTTTCAATGATAAGCTTATTTTGGGACTTCAGAAATCTTCTGGAGCAGGAATGAGAAAAATACAACAGGCACTTCAGAACCAAATTCCCATTAGTCTATACCTTTCATATCTTCTGTTTATTTCAAGAATGGATTTGTGGACTATGAAAAGAGATTTGAGTTTTATCTTCACTTTATTGATATATCAAAGCAAAAGTGACTTGTCAAAGAATAGTGAAGTAGCTACTAGAATCCCAGTCTAGAACTTTTTAAAGATAAGCAGTCTTTATTTTTCTATCTTGCAGATTTCAAAGATTACAATATCACATTGAGGTTTTAGTTTGGATAAGGCTTTGAGGTTTGTTGGCATGAGAGGTGCTAAGAGATTATAAAGACCAGTTGGTTATAAAAATGCTGCATGTCTGTCTGTGAACTCGAAGATTATATATTTTTTTTTTTTTAAAGAAGCTATTTTTAAATTGTGAGCCACACGGAGGCTGCTATTGGCTGTGGAAGTACTCTTTCAAAGAAAACTCCATTCTCTAGTCTGGGATGCTTTGCAGAGTTAGTTAGTACTGCTGCTGTTGTAGATCGCACTGGCCTTTGAGTAACCAAGGGTGCCCTGGTGATGTAGACTGCAGAGAGTTACACCAACCTAAAGCTGTGCTTCAATTCACCAGTGGTTCTACAAGAAAAAAATGGACAG